CTACAAGAAAGGTCATATGCAATTTTTGCGTATATCCAACGGTTTGGGAGTTATTGGCCAAAAACGAAAATTTGGAAGAAATTGAAGGGGTACCCCTTGGAAAAATCTCGGAAAAATCGAAAATTTTTTTTTGTTGTTTATTATTAGCAATGTTCTTCCGACGTCTGATTTCTTTTTAAAAAATGCGTTTCTAAAGTGCATAAACTTTTGGGATTGACTGTATAGCCTCTACATCCTTAAATCTTGTATACACAAACTATCTTCTTGTTTATGATCGGAAGGAATTTTGAATGATTACAGATCATCGTGATCTTTGCTGTAGTGATTGGAGCTCTGGCGGCTGCTGGCGTTCCTGAAACGTCAGAATCTCCTTATGACGACGCGGAACTGGTTCTCCCATCCATACCAGGCGCGGAAAACTTAGAGGAGAAGGCCATGCCTTTGTCTAAATTGATTGCTCAACATGAAGGTGTACAGAACTTGCTGGAGAAGAGTCAACTCGACTCTCATCTTCCTGGAACAAAGAACCTGGCCGAGAAACGCCTCCCGGAAGCATTGCTGCGAATGTCCGATGGTCAGCGCAGAAACCTTTAAGTCAGTTAAAATACGTAAAATTATTTTATTAATGTCACTTATAAGAATAAAGTTAGGAATAATTACTGGTTTTATATATTCGTTTAAAAGTATGGTTTGAAATACATAATAAAATAGTAATTGGAAAGTTAGTAGTAGAAGAGTAATTGACGATGAACGTAATCATTAATCGATTAGTTCTGAAGTACTCGAGATAGAAGAAAATTGTATACGACCTTCTTTTACAGGTAATATCATTACCTACAACTTTTATTCAAAGAATTTTTCAAAATTCTGACTAAATAAAAATTTTAATTTTTCTGACAATTCGTTAAGGGGATCCCCTTCAAATCTTGTGAAAAATTTTCGTTTTTCGCAAATACCTGCTTACCTGTTGTTGCTAACGAGAAATGTTTCCGATAAAAATTGTAGCTCTAATCGTCAGCTACAAATAAGATCGTATGCAATTTTCCCGTAGGTCCAACGGTTTATGAGTATTTGAGGAAAAACGAAACTTTTTACCAAAAGTTCGCTATTTCGACGGTGAGAAGATCAGATTTTGTCATTATCAATAAAATGCCAATTAAACGTACTTAACTCGTTAAATAGCCAAATTAGAAGAAAAATACATTGAAGTTTTCGTTATTTCGATTGGATAACGACGAGAACTGCCTTGTCTGAGCACGATATATACGCTCTCGGTACCGTCCCACGATCAGTTCACGCCCGCGCGAGGGTCGCAGGCATCTGTTCATCGTAGCGAAAATCGATTAAGAACGAGTCTGAGACTGGGACGAGTATCTGAGAGATGACTCCACTAGTTCGTGGGCGGTCGGGAGAATTAAAATTTATACGCTCCAAGAACCCATAAGTAATCCACCTGTTCCTTTTTTCGCGGGAAAAAAATTAATTACGGCAGCAAGAAGCTCGCCTTTTGTCTTTGGACAGTGTACTCCACTAATTTTCAAAGCGGAATTGTCGCACGTCGCGCTAACAAAGTTGCCGGTTTATTAATAAAAAAGAACCAGCGCAAGTTAATTTGTCTCCGGCGGAATTCCTTTGTGGCCGCACTTCTCGGCTCACCGGCAGCGGAAAACTTGAGAGAAAGGAACCGATAAAAGACCGTGCGAGGCGTTCGCTCTCATCCGCGGGTGGCAGAAAAATTCGTGGGATAACCGGGAGGCTGAAAACGCGCGTATGCGTGTCAAAGGACAAGAGAACAATTTCGATGGGTTTAGGTATGGCTTCGTTATACTGTCGTTACCATGCACGATAGAGCGGACAGATTGTAGGTACGCGCAATCGATTATCAAACGCGGGCGCGATGGCCGGTTTCGTAACAATCCACAGAATTATCCGACCATACGGGTAATCGCGTTACTTCATCAATTATCCGCTGACGCTGCACGCAATTAAGGCAGCGAAACACCAAGCGATAACCTTCGCTCCGCCATACGTAATCGCGACCGATTTCGCGTTTAGGCGAGTAACGAGAGGCTTGGCTCGCCAGGAAACCTCTGCTCCTGCCCCGCGTTATTTTCCTCTGGTTATTCGACGCGTGTCGAGCTGCTGCGTTCGAATGTAGTATATCGATTTAGGAGAGGGGGGCGCCGGGGGGGTGCCCCGATAGTTTCGCGAGCATGCAAATGAACGTAACTATCAAAGGCGAAATATGCATGCATACCGATTTATACACGACCCGCTCTCTCCCTCTCGATTTTCTGATCGCTACAAATGCAATTGTCTATCCTAGAGCACTATACAATATCTTTTTTTTTTCTGGCAACCGAAGCGCGTCGGATATTTCGCAGACCTTTTTTGACTTACGAACCGCTCGGCAGGTGCTGATTGTACTCGTTCTTCTTTCGAGTTTACTACCCCGTCTTCTCGCCAGTTAAAGTAACAAGGAGATAAAGCTCTTTCGTTTGGTATTTACTCTATGAAGAGATCCGTTTTAAACGCGCTTGTTAGAAACGACTTCTTATGCAAATGTAACCGGCGGGGGGTTTGGGGAGGGACTCGGAGATTACTCGGTTGTCACGAATGTAACGAGGGTTCACAGATTACTTGACTAGCACAAAGAACAGCCGGTGCATTGAAATCCCCGCGCCGAAAAGAGCGAGAGAAGGAAGGCAACGAGAATGCCGTGTCGGTAAAAGGAAAAGTTTCGGTGGACGAAACGGATGGCTCGGTTGTGTCCTTCCAAGTCGAAACACAGCCGGGACAGAAGTTGGTCCGAGAACCGCGGAGAACGTTAATTCGTTTAACGGGCTCGTTTCTCGTTTTAACTCACACTTGCCTCGTCCGCCTTTGCTCTTCGGCTTAATGGCTGAGATGAAAGTATTCTGCTCCTCGGCCTCGTGGCTGAGATGAGAATGGGCGACGGCATCGAGCTCGGGCGTAGACGGGAATTAACTTTTCCCATAGATGATCAACTTTCAAAATTTTAACTCTTGTTCATCGCGTACCATCGATCTTTAATAGTTTTGCAAGAACGAGTTAAGGCCGCGAGGTGTTCGTCGCTCCGAGCCAGCGGATTTCGTTTCGAATAACCGGGCGGAGCGATACCACGGAATTATTTTTCACCGATCGAAAGAGGAGTTGCAATTCTGTCGATGAACGATGATGCATCGACGGACGACGATTGTTCGGAAGCCCGTTAGCGCCCGTTAGTAATCGGGATTCCACGGGAGTATCGTCTCGCCCTCCTCCTCCTCTCTCGCAGTTCCTCCTCCACGCCTCTTGTTCCTGCCGCCTCTCTATTCCCATTCCTCTTCCCCTTTCATGTCCAGATCACGCGATGATACAGGAATGTCTGGGATGCCGAGAGCGATGGCGTGGAGCTCTTGGTTGACCCGGCATGGCCATTATCGTGATTACATTAGGTGCTATCCTACCGGGTAAACGGGGTGGCACGCTAGCGCAGCGCAGCGCGCGCAAGGCCCGGGTCCCCGAGTTTGCTCACCGTACAATTCGATGGCGGAAGGCACGGATCGCCAGATAGTCCGATTCTAGCCCGGCGTCCCATCAGCTACCCACTGCCGCGTCCTGTATTGCCCCCGCAATCTGGGTACACGAACTTTCCCTCTGGTTTATCGCGGTAATTGTTGAAAAGCGCACTGGTTTCACGGATACACCACTTCCTTCCTTCGTGCATTGTTCTGCTATGACTATTTCACATCCTGGTTTATCGTGCCCATTGCGGTGGAACGTATTAAACTCTAGAAACGAATCGTTGTATTCTACTTTGGCAGATTCGCGTAGGGAACGCACGGGTCTCGGTAATAGAGACCGGCGTTATCCCTCCTTTTTCGAGACTTTATTCCAGCTAGATGTTCCCTGGAGATCGCGACACGGGACTAACGTTTTATAACTTGCAGCTCCTCCGGTGTGTCATATAGTCGGGTTACCCAACGACACACCAGACGTCTACGCTTTTACGTTGCTGGTTCCCTTCGTTTCGTTTGTCTATTATGTAAATGGCAATAGATTAGGCTGTCGGGCAGCCGGCGAGTACGTGCCTCGATTCGTACAGGATTCTTGCTCCTTACCTCGTATCACGTTGCATCCTTCGGTTGTAAACCGAGGCGTTAGTCTCTATATTTAATAATAAGTAAAGCAGCTACACGTTGATAGGATCAATTTTTGAACGGGACGAGAATCGACTGTTCTACGAAGTTTCCGAAATTTCATTCCTTCCGCTTGAACGTTTCGTTCGCCCGTCGCGCCGCGAAGTCGTTCCGCGTAATTTCATAAGACCGCAATCTACGCGAAGAGGCGCCGAGGAAAATGGCTGCAATGTTTTCCACCATAGTCAGCAATGGTACCGCGCGGAGCTAAAGCCGGAAACAAGAACGTTCCCGCGAAAGTTCATTTCTTATCACCCCGTTCCCCCCCTTCTTCTTCTTCTTCGGGCCAGACCCTCTCTGCCCTCCTTAAACGCCGCTTTTCTAATGCACCCTTTTGCCCTCCGCGTTCTTGCCCCGGGAGCGAAATAGCGGTTGTCGCGGAAATGGATCCGACCGAACGAGCCTGGAGAAAATTTCATGAGACTCACTGCTTTTATTTGAATTTAATATTTATACGATTTACTCTTGGTTAACGCGCCCCTTTTCCGCTCGCGGTGCTCGCATGCACCGTTCATCTCGGTTTCTCATCGCTGCGCTCGCGAGAGTTTTTTTGTGTACGCAATTATTATTAACTTCGGAGCGCAACCCGGTGGAAGATCCTCGCGGTGCCGCCGCCGCGGCGAGAGCGGGAAAGAGCGAGGGAGCCGTGGCCGCGGGTGAATGCGCGTTGTTGTATACACCTCGGCCGTGTTTCCGTGCTTCGCGTAATTACCGTAGAGCGAAAGCTTAATCATTGCCGACTCGCCGCGCGGGAAATTACCAACCGCCTCGCGAAAGGATTCTGCATGTGGGTTGCCCGGCAATAACGAAAAAGCTTCGGGACCCTACGACCCGTCCTCTCGATCGTATCCTCTCGAGACTCGGGAAACGTTCGTATCAAGGCGGAATGTTTATAAAAATAATTGGCTATTTGCCGGGAGATCCTAGGTAACGAAACGTCTACGAGGGAACCGCGGATTCTGAAATTTTCCTCCGTGGCATTCCTGTCTCGTCGAGTGAAGGCGTTTGGGAAGAGCGAAACGCTCTCATGCAAAACGGAGTCGACCGCGAGGAAACATGGTCGTCCTTGCAGTCGTAGAGAGGCAAAGTTGCGGTTAGACACGCGAGGACGCGATCCCATCGATCGTGTGTGCGCGCAACCCGCCCGCCTCTATCCGCTCGATGGAAATTACGACGCGACGCGACGCCGACCGACGCGGTGCCGTGGGCTGCCCGTTACTTAGAGCCCCTCTCGTTTGTGCAGCTCTGAAAAGTCTCGATCTCGTCCTCGACCTGTCGCGTGCGCGAGAAAACGCGCCGACAATCGGATCCACCGTGGCTCTCGTGTCGCGTTTTTACCGTGGCCGAGATCGATCGATTTCCGTCCTTTCTCTGCCCCATGATTGATCGTGGTCTCTTCCGCCGCTGGTAACGACCTTCCTTCTACGACGAGCGACAGCCCCGACCATTTCGCGTTTCACGCCTCGGACCTCGAATATTTCTTACCTCCCACCGATCGTTCGTACCGGATCGGTCCGAACTTCGGACTTGTTGCAGTATCATTCCTATCGCGATATTAAGTTCAGCTATTCGCTTGCACGATCGTCAGGATCGATTTTGCATCCCGGCTCAGGCCCGTTTGAGAATATGGTAGACTACGAGAGCAGAGTTCGCGTAACCGCGAGCCCCGTATCGAGTTACGTTAAGGCTTACTACTTGTGCAGCGTGCAGGTTAGTCGCAGGCGCCTAGAGAATCGATAAGGCGGCAACAAAAGCTCAAACTTGCACGCTTACCAGCACCAAGCTGGAGGCTACACGAAACCATAATATGAAGTAACGAATCGTTGTAATTTCTTGTGTCAGATATTCCTTGGTTAATATATTAAAATGTTGCGGGCCCGCGCGGGGCAGGTTTAATGCCCAGCGATAACGTGTAGAGAGTGTAATTGGCTGCGAGGCAACGAGAGGGGGCATATCGCTTCGC